ATTTCCTTTGTCTCAATCGAGATAGACAAATTTGTCCAAGAATTGATTACGAGAACTCACGAACTATTTTTATAAGAACGTTGTGTTGCACACAACTCCAGACTAAAAATTTCAAATTTCTGCCCGCAAAATATCACCGCCCGCCATATTTGCCCGAAAAGGGCCTGCGGAGGAGGTAGTTTGGAATGCGTGTTAAAATATTCATTTTCAAATAACTCGCATATAGCCGCTTAATATGCGCTTAAAACATATTTGTAATATTGTTGCTCTTATGAAAGGACCGATTATCCCTTTAGAGCTATACGAAGCAAGGTAATTGTGTTGGCGAAGTTGCTCCGGAGTATTTTAGAGTGCTCCTCGGCTAAGTGATTCCGCCTTTTTTTTGACAAACGAGCACTTCATCCGAATTCCAAATTTGTTCACATTGTCGGCCATTAAAATTTTGCGGCACTTGAACGACTTGAAAGCTGCCATGCCATGGAGACAGAGTGACGGGTTGAACCCCCGCTGATTAGAAGGTAGAAAGGAATGCAGGCTCGAACGGTGATGAAGTAGCAAAAATTCGATAAATAGCATGCATACTAGTCTTATAAAACACAAATATCCATCCATGCAAATGTAGCGTTGGGCTGCATATATCTGTGACACAAAATCACTGTTAGTTGTCTCGGCATTGAAATGCTATTTGCAGCATCTGTATTTATACAAATATTATAGCGTGTGCAGTATCTGTGTTTATGCAAATATTATAGCGTTTGCAATCTCCTCAACCACCATACAAAGTGCCAATATAGCTATAAATTATTCTATTGTTATAGTTTGAATGCCTGAGCCATTCGCAAGACTTTTAGCTGCTAAAACTTTTGCTTTGAACTGACTTCTATTATCATAGAGTTAAATATGAAGTAGATCATACGAGGGTAACAAGGGCGCTTGAATCCCGAGTAAGACTTAAGCCAAACTTTATATGCAACTCAAAATTTAACATTCTGTTCATACTCTTATAATATACACTTTGTCTATTATGCGTCACCTTTTGACAGGCGGTTGCAAAGTTTTTTGTCCATAAGTCCCCAGAGAAGGTTATTCAACAAATATGATAATTACTTGTGGGTTCATCCGCATGAAATGATATTTTCCCTTGTTTGACTAGCGTTTCATGTGCGTTGCATGGACCAGTATAGCCACAAGAGAAGATGTTTATATATACTGGTAAATATCTATGTTTCGTTTGCTGTAAATCTGTCATTGTTTTCCCACGTACATTGTCTAAATCGTGTGAATTTCCTATAGCCTTAATTCAGTCGAAATTATGGTTCTTCGAGGCAAGACTAGTGGGCATGACCTTTACACCATTCGTCGACAACGGGAAGCGAGGTTTGTGGAGTATCGTGTATCAATCTGGTCGCGTGTTTAACAGTTTTGTTTGAATATTGGGGCGTTTATAAGGCTGTGTTAGGGCACTTAGTATTCGTATGCGGTTCTACTTAAAGCTATTACTAGTAACTGGTTTCTATGGAAGCCAGTAACTATGTTTGAGTATGAAAATTTGGCTCCGTTGACACAGCGCTAAAACCGGCATGTTTTGACGCTCGTGCTAATTATTATATATTGTATAGCATTATTCAAAAACTTGCCACGGATAGAAAACCACATTAATCTATTTAAAACGTGTATGAATAGGGTGGTCAGCTAACAGGAACGTTTTCTATACAAAAGTTGACCCAGTGCTGTGGAAGCGAAGCATTTTAGTGACAAGTAAATGCTTATAGCACGGTACTGCATGTCTTTCTGTGGATTACAGAAAGCTGCATGCGTTTGGCGTGGCTGTATTTGCTGCATTCTTGTACACATTTTGTTTAACTCAAACGAAAACGTGTGTCAATAATGAAAATCGATCCCCTTCGAACCGCTAAGAGCCGCTTTTGCAATTATACGCGCGGTGGAGCTCAATATATTCATTCAAATATGGCGGCAATCTTTAATCTTTTGAGTCAAAAGTTTAACAAGTTTTGACAAGCTTCGGCATGCTTTAAAAGGTTGTTTACCGGAGGCAATTTTGCTGCGGCGTGCGACACAATTTCGGGAAGCCGGAGAGTGTAAACATATGATGTGAATAAAGCTCGCTTGCGGCGAGGTTTCTGCAGGCGTCGCTTTGTCTGGAAACAGTTCAAATTACATTTATTCTTGCAGTCAAAATTAAAACAATACATTGCGCATTATTTGCTAGTGGTTTATGATGACTTCACTGCGTACAAATCTTCTGATTTGGGACTAAAATTTACGGTTAAATAGTTGGCGTGTTGTCAATGTGTGTGAACGATATAAACACTGTTTAAACCACTTAACTATAATGCCAAAATATACACTATAATTAAATGTCCTTCCCTAAGAAAAACTACATATTTCTGTACAATTGTTATTATTAGCTATAATCTAATTTCGCTAAAATTATAAAACACACCAAAAGCACACTAAAGTAAGAGGTTTTGTTATGTAATTAGTGATAGTAAGTCATATACCAGTTACATAGAATTCTTGAAATATTGCCCTTTTATTTATAGAATGCATGTAGGAATGTTTTTGTTTATAGCTACCGGTATCGCACATGCATGTGGCATGTAACGGCGATTGATAAAGATTCTTAGATTCGTGAATTTTCTCACTACTCGACCATTTAGCAATAATAATAGTTGGCGTTTCAAATTTTGAGTTTAGAATTCGGATATGGTGGGTGTTCCATGCAATTTCCAAAAAAGGCCACGTTTTAAAATTGGATGTATTTCTGCCAAGCGCAAGGCTGTGCGTCCCATGGTACACTGCAATATTTGATTGGTTTTTTGATGGTGTAAATGTGACATCGTCTTCAAATGTTAAAAATATATCTCGCAATCGCCTCTCTATTAACCGAACACGGTTTTCTGATGGTGTAATTATAAAATCGTCTCCAAATTTCAACAATTTATTTTGTAATCACCTCTCTATTCACATGCAGTCAGAACACGGAAATGTGAAAGTAGAAATATATTTAGTCAATATAGGTTAGTTAACGATCGTTTAAACCAATTAGTTTTTTGGGCGCGGGGACTTGAGCCACGCGCATTTTTTGAATTCTCGCAGAACGAAATACGGGCAGCTACGAAACGGTGCCTACTCAAATGCTGCAGTCGTGGGGGTGCAGTGCAATTATCATCATTAGCTTTTCAAAAAATCGTCTGCTAATTTAATCACCGGAACTGTTTAAAAGAGATAAAAAATGTTTCACCTCTTAAATGAATGAAGTCGACGTTTCAATCATTGTATGAATAAGCTAGATAACTGTTGACCTCTTTCTTTTGCATTCTAGCTTTAAGTTAAATATTTTCTGTGAGAATTGAACAATTAAACCAAACTCTTCCTATGCCGACGATAAAACTGTCAAATAAAAAAGATAAATCTAAGATTTGGACGGCCGATAAGAAGGTAATCTGACCGATTGCGTGTATGAAAGACAGCCTAGTTATGCATATACATTGTTGACAATGTTTCCAAGTTATTAAGTAAACATCAAAGGTAATAATTACTTGCAACAAGTACTTCACATTTCTCTTTAACGCTTTAAAAAATTTACGACCATTCTTAATAACCTGGACACTTGTCATCTTTGATCCTAAATTTAGGCAAACCTCAGAACGGACCTTTCCACTTCAGAACCACTGAAAGAGCAGTTTTGTATTCTTACGATATTTAAATTAAAGATGAAATTTGGAGAGCACAATTATTATATCGGACCAGATTATTACAGCATTCATATATCAAATGTTTATTGTATTGGTTTTAATTCTCGTTCGCTGACCACTGTGTGATGCGTATAGTGATGCTTCTACGAGTAGTGTTTAAGGATTTATAGCGTACTGCCGTAGATAATCCTCCACTGATTGTGCAACGCTGAACGGAAAAGTGCTTCGATGGTATAAACATAAAATTTCTGACAATCAAGGCAGATTTGATAAGGTAATATATCTTTAATTCGTTTGCTAGTGATTTGTAGATGAAACATCCGTTGTACTATATGTATATTTATACATAGCCGGACCAAAACAGCCGGCATTTTAGGAAAGTTTAGGTATAGTTTAGTCGTAACCAGTAATTTTGAACAATGCGGAATAGCTCCACTTGCAGTCTTGTGATCTTCTGTGTTCATTGTATGCAAATCAGTTTCTAAAACGCACAAGCTCTACTCTAAACTGGAGAGGCATAAAAAAGTGATGTGAAACCGGGTTAGTTAAATATGAACGCGTATAGTCAACGACTAAATTATGGAGTTCGATATGGGTATAGACAGATAATAAGATATTTCTTAACAAACTAAAGTTTCAAACGCGAAGATCGCCTGAGAAGTATTTATAATTCATAATCAGGATTGATTTTTCATCAGATGTGGTATAACAACTTCCCACATATAAACTAACTTACCTGAGCAAGACCCTCCCAGTACCCACCCTCATTTGGAAAAAATAACTAGACGTGTTACATTATCTGTTGTTTGACGGCGGCTCATGTCCCGAATGCATTAATGATAAAGTCAAGCGTTTCAGCTGACCGTCTTTGTTACTTGATAATGCATTTGGCGCTGACACATCTTCTGACAAACCATTCGAGAGTTTTCCGTTCAAGTAGAATCTTGACTTGCCTCGGATGTAACTTCTTCAGGCGGGGAAGTAAAATAAATTCTGATTCCGCTTTTATCTAGAACAATCGTTTTCACTCAATTTGTCCTTATGTACTTATCAAAGTTTCCATTTTTTTCTCAAATCAGAATCTATGATATTCAGAAGTTTCCTTATCGTTCAGTCACAGCTAAACAAACAGTGAGGCTTGTAAACGAGCCCAGCTGTGTTCATATCCCATACAGGCAGAAATTTATTCAATCCCAGACAGTAAATCCAATTCATTTGATGTAAACTTTAGAATCAACGATCGATAAAACGTACACTGAATACACGTGCAAGAGAGGACAAGACGTGTAGCAGTTCCTTTCTCGTGTGGCGTTTGAAGAATCGTTTTGTGTTGCAGACGAGAGGAGAGCAAACGATTACAGTAAATGATACGAACTGTAGGAGTAGTAATTCAAAACGTGCCGGCCCTGGAAGCAAATTAACTGACATCCTTTCAGCCTTTTCTCGAAGTGTTGAAATCGAGATCAACAGAACCTTGTGTATAATTATATCCAGTAATTCTGTGCGAGCCAACATGTCGAGTTTAAATATTCAGTGTGGTCCAGTCAGCTCTACATCCACCCTGTCCTACGTAACGGCTTCAATTTCCGCTGCTCTTTGTCTGATAACGATTCCTGGTAATCTTATGATCATCGTCGCCGTGTACCTTGATCCCTATCGACGTCTGCGCACGCCTTTCAACATAGTTGTTGCCAATCTGGCTTTTGCTGATCTCTTGGTTGGTTGCATAACTGAACCGCTCTCGGTGTATTTACACATTAAGGAGGGCCTGAGGCGAGACTTGGCTTTCGACGAAATACGAGTGCTACATCTTTCATACTTTATTTCTTGCACCGCTTCGGTCTTAAGCATATCGTTGCTAGCTATTGAACGTTACATTTCCATATCGTACAGTTTTAAGTATCGACTTTACTTCAAGAAAAGGCGTTTTGTTCTGGTATCCCTAGTGGTCTGGCTGGTCGCCATTGGTTTGTCAACAGTTTACATTCTCACGAGCTTTCTGTTTTATTCTTTCGTCTTCATCAACATTGCGGTGTTTTGGACTTTGGGAGTTACCACGTTCTGCTATGTTAAAATTCTACGAAAATTGAAGGAAGCTCAGAAAGCCAACGTAGAGCCGGATACAGTTATCGGAAATACAAACGCATTGAGCCATGCCTGCCCTGTAAACAAGGCCTATGTTGTGAGATTGAGGAAATGTGCCGCTGTTGGTTTCGGGGAGAATGTTAAGGGTATTGACAATAACGGTTGTAACGAGGCGAGTAGAGTTGAATCCATCGACGAAAATGTTGACGAAAAGGATTCTGGATTCTCTCAAGCTAAACCGTCTCCCAGTACAAGCTCTGACATGGAGGAGAGTGCGATAAATGCCCACGAAAGCGTTGCTGGTTCTTCGATGAACAGCGAGAAATGCATCGAGAATAGCGAGCCTTGTGATACCAGTCGAGAACTTCCACGAGAAAACGATTTGGATTGCGCACAATCTGACCCCAGTTCAAACACTAAGTCTCACGTGATCGTACAAACCAATCAAAATACGACCTGCCCTCCAATGGCTGAACAAAATTGTGTCAATACTGACGCCATCCAAGCGAACGTTGCGACATACAACGAATATACAAGTAACAAATACAACATCTTGGTAACAAAGACATACATCATGATTTCGCTCGTGTTTTTGGCCTGTTATATCCCAGCCTTGTTGATAATCTACACGATGAACTGGTGCGATACTTGCAGTTGCTCGGCGATACACATCATGAGGGACTTGCAGTTTATGATTGTCATATTCAATTCGTCCATAAATCCTTTCCTTTACTCCATTCGTTTCGCGCATTTCCGTCGGGCTATATTCAAGATACTTCAAGATATTAGTAATGAGATATTCTACTGAGCAACTGTAGTGAAGTATAGGTCGTCAAATACACGATGGTTAGTATAGAACTATAAAAAGTTTCCAACTTCCCAGAGTCCCCTTTTTTATTGAATTTGAATTCCAATATAACCAACATTCCAATGTCCCTTTGAACGTTTCACGTCCCCCCCCCCTTATACCAAGAGACGAAAGATTTATCGGTAACTTTTAGAGTATTAAATATTGTAATATTAAAGGGTGATAAGGTTATAATGAACCCGTCATTCGTGATGTTTCGGTTTGCCTTTGTATCGAGAAGCAGGCAATTTTCAGCCTTTCAGGCCCGAAGTAGGTTGATACCCATTTTTGGGCAGTGAATATATTTACGAATTGGGGCTTTGGCTGGACAAACTTTTTTATTTTAATGTACACTATTCTATATTAGCTAAATTGATTAACACTGATCAAGTCAAAGTAAGAGCATTTTATAGTTTTCTTTCAGTAATTTTTGCCAGCAGAGGACGCCTCTAAACATCTAAGAGCTGAATGATAAACATTGAATAGATGTATGTTAATACCGATAAAATAAACGCTTTCTGCAAATTTTATATTAGTATTATTTTTATAAGGTTCTAAACCAGGTGTAAATAAAGGTAAAAAGACAAATTTTGTTTATAATAAATGTGATATGAATTTCTTCCTGCTCTCAGGGAAATAAATCAGTACCGGCTAGATTGCCTTCAGAAGAATTTCAGTTCGCGCGGTATAGGCGCCGTACTTGCCATGCGCAAAACCTTATGCAAATTAGCTGAAAAATATATTAATTCTCATTTGCAAAAACTTATAAGCTTAAACCAGGGCTTATTCTTTCGATATGCATTTAAATGCAGCAGTGCACGCTTTGCTAAGGGAATTCTCAAGTAGGACTCCATATTTATCTCCACCTCCGATGAGATATTGACCGCACTATTATAAAAACAATAATTTCACTGGTATATTATTGAATTATTCAGTATATTTTACTATAATTTTCCTCAGCTTTCAAGAAATAAAGCGGTGTCTCTCACCCTTAATAACTAAAAAAGAACGGAAATCACTGTTAGCTATATACATGAATTATACAATCAACAACGATACAATATATGATCACTAATTGAACATTCATGGTCTATATTAAATTGGTATGTATTAAAATTTATGTCCGAGGTGCTTCGTCTCGTCTTTGTTTCTCGTAAGCTTGAAGGGCTCTCTTGGGAGGAATGAGAGAGTCATTTACTCCGACTCTACGTTTGCGTTTCTGAAACGCCTTAAACCCATCATCATTGTCATTTCTCTGATCTTGTCCGTGAAAATTCTGTCTTTTTGGAACTTTATGAGCGTTTTTACTTCGCCTAAATTTAGCTTTTTCTCCCTTTGTATCGTCCTTGCGTTCAGTCAGTTTCACATGCCTTTCCAAAATCGCCAATTTCTCGTCTTCTTTGGCTTTGAACGGATTAAAAAACACCGAAGCTGAATGGTCATCCATTTTGACAGACGCAAACTCGCTTCGCTTTTGCTGTGGGTTCTCGTTTAGTATATCCGGTAAAGGTAATTTTTCTTGAGCGACGTCTATCTTTGTATCATTTCCTTGCTCTTCACCGTCTGTCTCTTCACTCTCCGAAGAGCTTTCACTTGAATTTCCATCGCTATTCTCGCTGCTGTAATCAGCAAGTGCATTGAGGGCCGCCATATTTGTTTACTTCCTTTGCATTACTTCATGTAGCACACAACAGCAGGAACAGCCAGATCAACAATTCTTCTCCACAATAATCGGCCGTTTGCCGAAAAATTCCAAATATTTTATTTATCGCTCGACTGGTGCTCATGTTTATGTCTGCAGTCTGCGTTTTTTTACCAAAACATTGGGGGGTGGTTCTCTGTATAGTTTTCACTGCAATGTGCTCATCTATTTCATATATATCTGTAATTCAAAATACTGATTATTTTGTTATATTATATTGGGCCAATTGATTATGAATATCAACTAAGTCCAATATCGATCAAAGAGTACATGCCCGTTCGCAAGTTTTGGCAAGGCAAATTTCCATAAAATCTGACACAGGCACGATTCTTACTCCATATACAATCGCACTTGAAAGACTGTACTATGTAAACAAACTGTCTGTTTACGTCTTGAACTTCTACTTTTCAAAATACGATGTGCTGTCTGAATATCTAACACTATTTATGTTTGCTACGCTGCTGAATAAAGCTGAACTATAGAGAGGGTGTTTAGAAAAAATTTAAAAAAAATGGGAAATCTAGAGAGCCCTCTATCTTCGACTTTTTTACCTTTGTTGAAAAGCTAGTCCTTAAACTCCTTATGAAAGTTTACTGTTAAAGGGAAACCCCACAAGCTACAGTGTATAATATATCATATAAAGCGAGGATAATTCTGGAAATACTATGCATATATGCATAACCAATGTTTCTATCAATGACATGTAAAGCTGAATCGATCCAAAAAATATTCTGTTAGAACTGCTGCTTTATTATTTGCTTGCTTTACATTTTTCTTGCCTATACCCTTTTCTATTTGCCGTAATTTGTTTTACTAGGCACAAATTTATCGATTAGAGCACAATTTATGCATTCAAAGTACACTTAGTACTCCCACTCCTTATAAAAAAGTCTCCTTCCTTTAAATCTTTAGTTTGTTTCCACTATGTTTTGTTTGGAATTTCACTATGCATTTGCAATCCTAAGAGAGCCCAAACATTATGCTAAAATTATGAAACATAGTAAAACAGATGTTTAACTGTGAATAGTGACTAATATTTAGTGCTATAGACTATAGTAGGTGGATAACAGATTATATTTATATACTAAATGCATGCTTGCACAAGGCACCCTATCGCGAACGTTTCAATGCAACCTCCTTGACCCGAATATTCTTAGGGTTTCCTTATTGTGTTGTGTATTAGCCATTTACTGTCAACCAGCGAGGCTATGCGTGGACAATTTTGGGAGAAATAACCAGTTTAAATGTATTTGTGGCTGTGGTTTGTGGGCTTCGTGGACTCTCCGTTTGAAAATCTAAATTGAAGGTACGAGAAATATCAACTTTTCATCTTGTATATCTTCCGCATTTGTTGCGAATAGGATATAGGATTATAGAATATAAATACCGAACAATTTAGAAATATTTGCTTCATTTGCTTGCACGAATCAGTGTTACTAACGTTATAATTGACAAACTTTTCCGGGTATCACCGTATCAGTATTGCTTTTGCGACTTACAATGTAGGATCAGCCATGAGTAAAAAAGGTTATGAGAGATTCCTCAATGGGCATAGCTGGTGTAGCAAGCGATCATTGATGTCTATTTCAATCATTGGTTTATAAACATCAATAACAGCTTATAATGCTAGCTAAGATTGACTTTACATACGCAAATACTATATTTTCCTTGCTTTTATGAAACTGTGCTGTGGTCTGACAATCAGCTAGTTATTTGCAAATAGAAACAGGGGCTATGACTGTTCGATTTATGTTACTGAGAAACTTCTGTTCGGTGTAGTGAAATTTATGTAAGCTTCCCTGTTTGTGATTAATACGATTAATTTGCATACGATGTAAACAAAGACAGTGATCTTGACACTGCAGACCATTTTATTTAATTGGTACATATCCGTTGTAAACATTGAGTGCTTGACAGAATAAAACTCAGGACATAATATGATAAAATCTGGTCCTTCAAAGGCTGGCTAAAGCTCTATTTGCAAATCGTTTTCAATCTCGTCTGACAATAGGAGTTGAGAGTAAATATAAAGCGCCGTATGAAGTTCCGGCCAAAACTATCGTGTCGAAACCTACGCAGGTTTATGTATATGCACTTAAAACTCTATTGGGGGAAATATCTGAGTAATGGAGTAAGACTCTGAGATTTCGATTTTTGAATTATGCTCTTATCGAATCAATTATTTTATTCCGGCGAAATGACCAATTGATGATGATTGCGTCAGATATTATCTAAATATTGTATTATATCAATCAATCGATTGACGCGGGGAGGGGGAGCCGTATTCATTGACAACACTTCAATAGAAAAGAGATACAATTGTGTTCAGTACACAATTCTTAGTCTTTAAAAAACTATTTATCACTCTCTCCACAACTCGTAATTAAATCCATTGAAATGAAAAATGTTTAAAAAAACTTAGGATTCCAATGAAGGTATTGCTTTGTCTCTAAAGTTGGATAAATCTATGTTAGTCACATTTGTTTCTTTTCTGTATATTCCAGACAGTTAATGAGTGACGTTATTTCGCTCAAAGAGTGGTAAACTCCGACATAAATTTCAGTTAGAAATTTATCTTACACCATGTTGGGAGGTTTACAAAATACGTAGTTTTAAATTAATTTACTATATAAGACTTTGCTATTCCAACCAGTATTAATTCTTCCTACTTATCTACTTAGCTATGGCAGATACAGCGAAAGCACTTCTTTCCGTTTCTTTGGCACTTATTGGTGTTCTAATAACGATAATCTTGTTCTTCATCTACGCCATCTTGTTTCGAATGAAGCGACAGTCAGTGTACCACGTTAGTTACTATGATGATACTTCCCATCCTGGCACCACCGAAGATCAAGCGATCACCTTCAAAAAAGCAGGACATGCCAAAACAACGACGGTGGAGCAAGCTGCGGCCGATGATGATGATGGTGATGATGGTAAAGATACTGATAGCCTTACTCGTAATCTCTCCTTCAGTAAATTCGAGAAACCAGAGAAGTTCGATAAAGCTGCACATCATCAAAGTATGCAGGGCTCTGACATAAAAAAAGAGACTGCGGAAACCCTGAACCAATCAGAGAACGTGGAGCAAGTACAGATAGCAGATGATACCAGTGATAGCGTGGATAAAGAAAGCCTCAGACGGGGTTTAACGTTTACTAACTTCGAGGGTCTGATCGAATATGCAAGCACCTTCGGACAATCGGAGGTCCCAGCGCGTCCTGTAATGGACGAGCCACCGGACAGTCCTGGGGATACT